GCCAAGCTTGAAATGAGTCTTGAATGGTGGTAGGGGTTAATCTATTTAAGGACATTTTATCCGATGGAAAGTAATGTGATGGAAGGACATTTCAAGCTGTTAGAATAACAAAGGCACATACAAAGAAGTACCGTATTAGGATTTCTGGTAGGAGAATTACAAACAGGTTAATGCTATGTGGATGGCAAGTGTGGGAAACAGGAAGTTTATAAGGCACTAAAAGATAAGCCAGACCAGATCTTGTTGTGTTGAGCTTGGACTTTATCCTCAGTGGTTCTCAAACCTGTAAGGTCCATTGTTTTCTTCCTGTAGTAAATATTTTCTAATGCTCCTTTCTTATTGTCTAATAGAATTTATTTATAATTATAATTCATATAAAATTAACATGCATCATTTCTAACAAATTAATGTGACGACATAAATGTAATATAAAGTCAAGTTCTAAGGAAAATAAAATAATAAGGTAACTTGAAATACATATTTTAAAATTTAAATGTTCAAGCATTACTGCATTAGAACATATAATGAATTAAACAGATACTCATACTTCTATACAGAATGCCTGTAAATGTGCAGCAATAAACATGGACTTTTATAGATGTATTGTATTGGTAATTCAGATATTTTAGTTGGTATTGTCATTGATAATTTTCCAAATTGTTCAAAAACCTGTTTGTAAAGTTCTGACCAAACTAAAGTACATATAATACTAGTTTCATTCCTGTAAAATTTGGTGTTTATTAAAACTGCAAATTTTTTTATGAAAAAAGAAAAAAGATGAATTTCTAGGTTCAGGTAATTATAAACAGGTTTTTCCATGTAATGTTAAATGAGACATTGCCAAGTCCTGTGGCACATGAGTTTGTTTGTTTTGTGGGATGTTCTTGAGAAGGGTTGGTAAACTGCATTCCAGAGGCCACATTGCCTATCTTTGGATAGCTTATGAGTGAGAATGGTCTTTATATTTTTATTTATTTATATGTATATTTTAAATTAGCAGGTTTTTTTTTAAAGTTTATTTATTTATTTTGAGAGAGACAAGGACAGTGGGAGCAGGGAAGGGCAGAGAGAGAGGGAGAATCCCAAGCAGGTTCTGCATCGTCAATGTAGAGCCTGATGTGGGGCTTGAACTCCCAAAACTGTGAGATTATGACCTGAGCCAAAATTAAGAGTCGGAAGCTTAACTGACTGAGCGCCCCCAGGCGCCCCAGAATGGTTTTTATATTATTTTTAGAGAGTTGGACCAAAAAAAAAAAAAGGTGGAATATCTTTTTTTTTTTTCCAAATAGTTTATTGTCAAATTAGTTTACACATAACACTCAGTGCTCATCCCCACATGTGTCCTCCTCCATGCCCATCCCTCCTCCCCCCCACATCCATCAGTCCTCAGTTTTTGTCAGCATTCAAGAGTCTCTCATGGTTTGCCTCTCTCCCTTTCCCCCACCATTCCCGCCCTTCTTCTCCCCCTTGTTTCTCCATCAAGTTCCTCCTAATCCTCCTATATGTGCAAACATATGATATTTGTCCTTCTCTGCCTGACTTATTTCGCTCAGCATAACACCCTCAAGGTCCATCCATGTTGCTACACATGGCCAGATTTCATTGTTTCTCATTGCCATGTAGTATTCCATGGTATAGATAAACCACATCTTCTTGATCCATTCATCTGTTGATGGACACTTAGGCTCTTTCCATGTTTTAGCTATTGTGGAGAGTGCTGCTATGAACATTGGGGTCCATGTGCTCCTATGCCTCAGCATTTCTGTATCCCTTGGGTAAATTCTTAGCAGTGCTATTGCTGTGTCATAGGGGAGTTCTATTGTTAGTTTCCTGAGGAACCTCCACACTGTTTTCCAGAGGGGCTGTACCAGTTTACATTCAAAAGGTGGAATATCTAATAATGATGGTAACACCTTTATAGAAAGTTTGTCAACTCATTTTCTTGAGCATTGTAGAATGCTGATCATCCCTAGATCCTGCTCACTAGATAACAGCACTCCAGTCACCATGGAACCAAACACAGCTCCAACATTTTTCAAGTGACTTTGGAGGGCAGTACTACCTTGTTGAGGACCACTACCCTTGATGGTCAGTTTTTAATGTTTTATTCCACCATGACAATAGTAATATGCATGATTTATTCCCATGTAGAGTTCTTTTGTTTGTAGTTTTCTCTTTTTTTTCCCTTCTTTTCAAGGAAACAATTAAAATGAGGCAAGAATTGGGGCACCCGGTGGCTCAGTCATTTGAACATCTGATTCTTGATTTTGGCTCAGGTCATGATCTCATGGTTTTTGAGATCAAACCCTGCATTGGGGTTTGTGCTGGCAGTGCAGAGCTTGCTTGGGATTCTCTTTCTTTCTCTCTCTCTCTCTCTGCCCCTCCCATGCTTTCTCTCTTTCTCTCTCTCTCAAAATAAATAAGCATTTGAAAAAAATGAGGCAAGAATTGTTAATGTAAGGTTAACCTTGAAAACCCTCCAGTTTATACTTATAAAAGTAAATTTTTACAAACTTCAGTACTTTTACTACTAATAATAATATTACTTGTAACTTATAACTTACATAGGAATGTTTTACAACTGACTGGAAACCACTGTAGCAGTTCTTGGAAATCTTAAAACAGGGAAATGACAGTATCCTTTTGACATTTTAGATAGATTATTTTGGTGAGGTGTAGAGGGTAGACTTGAGGAGGTACAAAGTATAAGCCTAGTTTAGGTACAAGATGGTGGCCTCCTGAATATTCTATACTGGGAGTCGGGACAGAGCAGAGGAGACACATTAGAGAATTATTTCAGATATAAAAATCAGTAGAAGTTGATGAGCAAAATGTAGCCTTAGTTCTTAACCTTTGTTGCTTATTAGAATTATTTGGGATGCTTTTAAACAGTGCCAATGCCTGAGCCCCATTTTAGGATTTTTAGAAATCAGAATTTCTGGGAATTGATATTTTAAAAATGTACCTCATGATTCTAATGTGCAGCCAGTGTTGAGAACTACTAATTCAAGTTGTGGAGGAGAGGGAAGAATAAGGGATAAGTGAGTACCAGGCTGCCAGCTAAGGCTACTGGTTGATGTAGGTGGCATGCTTTAAACAGAGTCTGTTCCATGGTAGCTATTCAGATATTCCTTGAATAAATGAGAACTGATGACTTTCAACTTGAACCAAAATCAGTTTCTTATTTAATTTCTGATTATTCTAAATTTGGATGAATTGACCCCAGTTCAAGATATAATTGACTGGGACCCAACCAAAATAAATCCTGTCACAGGTGAGATTATATCAGAATGGATATCTTGATATAATTTGAGGAAAAGAATGATATAAATCATCGATGCCGTGATGTGATACTGTGAAACAAAGTGCTAGTTGAAACAATTTGACTTAATTTTAGTACATTATACAAATTGATATTTCTGTTGAGTGGCTTAGATAGAGAATTTGGGTTCTCATACCTGGCAAATAGCTAAGCATTCAATATATATCTATTAAATTACACTGTGAAATATCTTTACCAGAAAGTTGTTATATTTATCATAGAATTCTTTTTTACATTAATGGAAAGATGGAAGGCAGTATGTTTGTCTTTCAGCCCCAGTTCTACTTCATCTACCCATACTCTACCTGTACACTGTCCTCCTTTACACTCCTCTGTTTTCACTGCTGCTGCCCAAGTTTAGTCAAGACTGTTGGTTTCAAATGATAGGAATATAACTTAAACTGTCTTGAATAGTAAATTGAATTTTTTGGTACCTATAGGCAGAAAGAATGCTGAGATAACATACAGAATTAAAGGAAGCTTTATAGGAACCATGGTCTTGGAGATTATAGAGCAGGGATATCATTCCCACTCTCATTTCTGCTTGGCTTTGTTCTTTTTTATTGTAGTCAAGCCTTTGCCAACAGATCAAAGATAGCAGTCTGCAACCCAGCCTTGTATCCTTCTGCTTCCATGACTCCAAGAGGAAAGACCATTTCTACAACTGTTTTATTAAATTGGAAGATTGATTTGAAACAGTTGTTGTGTCCAGAGAAAGGAGGATACTATGATTTGTCTGGTTTAGAGCTCATGCCAATCCTGGTGGCCAGGAGAGGATAAGGATATACCAAAGAGGAGACAACAAAAATCTTGACACCAAATCATTAAGTCACTGTCCTCTCCAAGACTCCATTGCCACAGACCTTTGATGATTTTCCACTTCAGTTTATTTAGCAACCTACTATTCACAAAACAGCAATGATCATTAAGTTTTGAAAATTCATGGAGAAATGTAGAGCAGTATACAATTTTAGAGTAGTATTATTGTAAATGAGCTATTTGAAGATGGACTACACAGCTAACATAATGCATTTATTTAACAAAGTGTACTTAGTTCTTCTATGGACAAGGCATTGTATAGTTATAGTATATCAAACCAAGTCTTGCTATAAGGCATTGTGAAATTATGTAAGATTTCATCAGAAGATGAGTTAATTCATTTTCTTGTTTTATTATTTAAAGTTTTTATTATTTTCCCATTATGGAACTCGATATTTAACAATTAGATTCTAGTTACTGATATAGAATTTGAATGACATGGAATTATTAACAAGTAGCTTTTTAAAATCTTTTTTAAAAAAATGTTTGTTTATTTATTTTGAGGAAGAGAGAGAACATGAGCAGGGTAGAGAGAGAGAGAGAATTCAAGCAAGCAGGCCCCATGCCCAACGCAGAGCCTGAGGTGGAGTTCAGTCTCACAACACTGAGATCATGTTCTGAGGCGAAATCAAGAGTCAGATGCTTACCCAACTGAGCCACCCAGGTGCCCCAACAAGTAGCTTTTCTAAAAAGAGTAGTTTTGTTCTTTTAAAGAGCTTATTCTCATTACTGTCATTTGATGACCCTTTTTGAAAGCTTATTCAGTGATTAGAGTCATTCAAAATATGATCTGTAGTTGAGCTATCTTTTTCTAGTTATTTACCAAATTCAAATTATATTATGTTTTTTGTCTTTGCAGTCGATTGCATCTGCAGACATGGATTTCAACCAGCTGGAGGCATTCTTGACTGCTCAAACCAAAAAGCAAGGTGGGATCACATGTGACCAAGCTGCTGTCATTTCCAAATTCTGGAAAAGCCATAAGACAAAAATTCGAGAGAGCCTCATGAACCAGAGCCGTTGGGACAGTGGGCTTCGAGGCCTGAGTTGGAGAGTTGATGGCAAATCGCAGTCAAGGCATTCAGCTCAAATACACACTCCTGTTGCCATAATGGAGCTGGAAATAGGGAAAAGTGGACAGGTGAGTCCAACTTCAGTCAATTTCCTTTTATGAACATTACATATTAGCTATATATTCAGATTGATTTTATGTAACAGTCTTCTTTGCAGAGATAATAAAAATAACAGGAAAAGACTCTGTTTCCTAGAATCCCTTTTCAGAGATGGAATCATCTGAAAATTAGGATACTCCTGGTGTTGGATAGAATCTGGAAATCAGCTTCATGGTCCTGGCAGCTATCTCAGAATAACAAAATGAGTCAATGAGGTGATTGCACAGAGTGGCTACTACTCCATTTTAGTTAGATCTCAGAATTCTTGGCATTTGGTCAAAATTCTTAGCATTTGGTCAGAATCTCCAAAGCAATGATATGAGATGCTAAATAACGACCAGGAATTGAGATTAAACAATACAGAACAAAACTGTCTCACCCAATCATCTTTATGGCAGTCAGATATAGGAGACAATGTATCTTAAATACAGCAATGTTTTGTTTCTAATGTCCTAAGTTTCTAAGTGTGCTGTCTCTGTCCTTGAGCCCACAAATAATTTTTAATTTGATCTTGATTATTTACAAACAGTTCTTCTTTTTCTTGCAGTTTCCATAGTCATTATAGCAGATAATTTTATCATCTACATTGTTTTTCCTGAAGTCATTCAGTTGTGCTTTAGATAACTGCTAGATCAGACTTGTAATGACCTGGTATGTCTTTGGGGGGGGTGGGGGGAGAGCAGCAACGTATAATTAGGAAGAGAAAACCCAGATCACTGAATTAGCCAACCAGATTTATTTTCAGATGAATAATCAAATAAGTGCTTCTGTTACATTCTACAGTATAAATTTATTTTTCTCCTAGGGATGAGACCATTTTTTTCAGCTGTCAGTTTCCCTCACATATTCCCTTAAGTTTCTTAGGATTTTTTAGCATTTGTAGTTCTATAATGACACTAATTTTAATTTAATATGTAATTCCTTTTAAAAGATAGTTCTTTTACAAAATACATTTGGAGAATCTTTTATTTAGTTATTTTAAAATAGTGCTATTGCTTTTATTGACTTTGGTTTGTCTGACCCTAAAGTCCATTCTCTTAACCATTGTGTTAATATACCTTCCTTCTACTGTTTCTAGACCAAAAATCTGACAGATTAGAAAGGTGTGATAAGTACACTTGGATATTGAGTTTCACCAACCGTTTGTCCACGCTATTCATTTTTATTTGGCAGTAGTGATTATTTCGTTTTGTCTTTAAGTATTTATCATCTGGGCAGGAATTGAAAACATGCATTCTATTTTAAGATATTCCTAGAAATGTATTATAATATTTCTTTAGCTTGGTTTTTTCTTATTGTTTGAACTCAGGTTTATAATGTGCCTTTTGATTTTAGTAACTTAAATATCACCTGACTTTATTGTGTACTGCTATAGGGATTTTAAAATATACTTTAAAACATTTAAAGTATATTCTTTGATATTGTTACCCAAAGTGACATTCTACTGTGTTTGTGTGTGTGTGTGTGTGTGTGTGTGTGTGTGTATGTGTGTACAATGCTTTTGTCAATCAGTAAATCACTACAAATGATTTGTAGGCTAGCTTCAGGGATATTTTGTGATCAATTAGAACAGGTTGATAAACTCTTTTTTTTTTTTTTTTAATAAGTTTTATTTGTTTGTTTTGAGAGACAGAGCAAGTAGGGGAGGGGCAGAGAAAGAAAGAGAATCCCTAGCAGGCTCCGCACTGTCAGCATGAAGCCTGATGTGGGGCTCAAACCTACGAACTGTGAGATCACGACCTGAGCTGAAACCCAGCTGGAGGCTTAACTGACTGAGCCACCCAGGCATCCTTGTAAACTCTTTTTTCAAGTGGCCAGGTATTTTATGCTTGACAACCATATGGTTTCTGTCATAAGTACCCAACTTTGTTGTTGTAGCTCAAAAGCAACCACAAACAGTATATAAATAAATGGACATTGCTGTTTCTATAAAGTTTACCTACCACAATATAATCAACAGGTCTTAGAAGTCAGAGAGTCCATGAGCACTTATCTAAGGTGCATTACACAGGTGAGGTAGTATATCCCTATTTTTAGAGAAGGTATCTGAGATAGATATATGACTTGTTTTAGACAGAGCTAATGTAGTAAAATGAAAATCACTAAATTGATTTTTTCAAAAAACCACTGACACCAACATTTAGGAGCTTTTGTTAGCTTCTCACCATATTCTGTGCCAAAAACACAAGTTAGTAATACAATATGGTAGTCAACAGTATTGGTAGGAATATTGCTCAGCAATAAAAAGGAAAGAACTTTTGATAAACACAACAAAATGGTTGAATATCAAAGTTATTTGCTGTGTGAAATAAGCCAGATACAAACTTTTTTTATCATAATGTATGATTTCATGCATATAAAAATCCTAGAAAATGCAAAGTAATCGTGACAGAAAGTGTATGCCTAGGTTAAGAGTAGAGGGAGGGATGGTTAGATTACAAAGGAGTGTGTGAAAACTTTTAAAAGTGATAAAAATATTTGTTATGCCATTTGTGGCAGCAGTTTCATGGGTGTATGCATATGTCAAAACTTATAAAATTGTATACTTTAAATGTGCACTATATTATATATTACTTACACTTCAAAGTTTTTTATTTAAAAAATGGTCACCATTGAAGCGCCTGGGTGGCTCAGTCAGTTAAGCATCCGACTCTTGATTTCAGGTCAGGTCATGATCTCAGGGCTGTAATATTGAGCCCCATGTTGAGCTCCGTGCTGGGCGTGGATCCTGCTTAAGATTCTCTTTCCCTCTCTCTACTGCTTGCTCTCTCTCTCTCTCTCTCTCTCTCTCTGAAAAAGATTGAAATTTCTCTTTAACCTGCAAAATGCTTTGAATGCAAATATATTCTTAAATCAAGAAAAGTTGTAAAGAAGGAAGTAAACAATAATATAACCTAGACTGGCAATAAAATATACAGCCCCAGTCCAATAGGAAATGTTTTTGTGAGACCTGGATCCTTGGTTAGTTCTTCTGTCAGCCTCTAAGTGATTATTATTTATGAAGTAATCCACTATATCAAATTTCCAGTTTTTAGAACATCTGTAGACAGCAAAGTCAAAGTTATTTTCATATGTAAATATTGAATGAACTGTGAGAGAACTGATGCTTCTAGGATACTAAGAGGTTGCTTCTGAGAAGAATGACCAACTTTTTTGAACTCTGTGTGTGTGTGTATGTGCACATATATTTATGTGTATTCGTATACCCTCAAATAACTAAATTACTCTCTTAAACTTATGTTATTTTTAAGTTAGTTGTTCTCAACAATGGCTGCACATAAGAATTGCCTGTGGGCTTTAAAATTTTGCATGCTTAGGACAGTGCTCAGATCAATTAAATAAGAATCAATGGGGATGGGACCTGGGCATCAGTATTCTTTAAAGCTTGTGATTCCAGTATTTATGTAGAGTTGAGAGAACCACCATACTAAATGTAGCCAAATAATCTGGTTTGAAGTGTAAATAGAGCTTGGTATCAAATTTTTACAGTGGGATTCAATATATGTCAACATACTTCTATTTACTATAGTTTTTGGAGTGCTTGGGGACTCTCTATTCAGGAACTAGATGCAATAGTGGTGGGTTTTTTGTCTTCCCTTCTCTATTTAAATTGCTTTCTCCTGCTCAGTTTATCTACATTACTTCTCTCTTTGGCCCAAAAAGTACATTTGACAATCCACGGCCACGTATGTATATACATTGAGTTTTTTAATCAATACAGTATAAAATACTTTTGGGATATGAGGAAGCCAAAGTAATAGAGAAGTAACTAAATCAATATACATTTATGGAAATATTTAGAGCTAGAGAAAATGCATATGCACTAGTGACCTAATTACTTAATAGTGAATATTGTTCTTCAGTAGAAATAAAAAATTTTGCAAGAATAAAACATCAATTCAGTGGTAACAGTGCACAGAACATTTTGAGGTGAACATTTCATGTGCAAAGGAAAGAACATCAAATGCTTTACTTGTGTGATTGAAAGCCTATCATATTTAGTAATAAATCACTTAAGGTCCTCAAACGTTGAGGATTATTGGAATCTGGCATGTATCTTTAGGAAAGTTTTGTTCTTTTATGTACTTATATAACTCCATGTTGTTTTCTTTCCTGGAACTTAAATAGAGATTACCATAGAATGTTTTATTTTTATAAATAGTAACTTTTAGGGGGATAATTTATATATTTAGTGGAGTCTCATTTATGGTTATTTTTTTTAAATACTGAAAAAATTTTTGGTATTTTATGAAGATGTACTGATTTTTCTTTTGTGACTTTTGTTTTTTAAGTTTGTTTATTTTTCTTATTAATCTCTACACCCAGTATGGGGCTCAAACTCACAACCCTGAGATCAAGTATCACATGCTCTTCTGACTGTGCCAGCCAGGCAGCCCTCTTTTGTGACTTCTTGTTTTTAAGACCAATAAGACATTTTGTGAGGAAGCACTAAGCCACAACCTCATTGCTCAAACATTTAGTAATAAATGTTCAAATAAAAATTGTTCTTTCATATACATTTTGGGGTGCCCTGTCTGTAGAGACTTGAAATACAAAGTTCTGTTTCTTTATTTCCTCTTTTTTTAACGGCTAATGTTATTGCCTTTTCTAGACTAGGTTTTAGTGTACCAAGCAGTCCTCTAGTTTTGTTTGTGTTTTCAGCAGACATAGGGAAGAGGATAGACTGCCGTTAGACTGATCTGATTTTTTTCTTTCTCATTTATTTATTTATTTTTTAATGTTTTATTTATTTTTGAGAGAGAGAGATAAGAGACAGCATGAGCAGGGGAGAGTCAGAGAGAGAGGGAGTCACAGAATCCGAAGACAGGCTCCAGGCTCTGAGCTAGCTGTCAGCACAGAGCCCAATGCGGGGCTCGAACCCACGAGCCATGAGATCATGACTTGAGCCAAAGTCGGATGCTTTACCGACTGAACTACCCAGGTGCCCCTGATTTTTTTTTTTCTAACC